GGCCTTCAGTGTAGTGTGAAAGTTAAGTTTGGGTATGTTCTCAGTCCAAAGGAGAAAACAAGGGATTTTATTTTGGTATTTAGATGCTGCGATTTGTCTGTGTCCAAAACAGGCCATAATCTGACTGGTTCCTTTCCTCTGTTTGCAGAGAATCCTAAATCTCTCTATCAGATCAGGCTTGTGTGCAGCTTTTCTCTCTTCTTCCCTTTGTTTGCTGTGTTAAACCACCTGACAGTTGAGAAATAGGCTAGAACAGGAAAAAGCATCCTAATTCTAGGTCACTCTCTCATAGGTTATCTTTGACAAAAGGAGAGCACACATACCTTCAATCCTGAATAAATGTTTTTGATGCCTTTAGACTGTTATGGACTGTTATAACATGCTCCATCTAGACCAGGAGCCCAGTCCTGGTCAGGGAGACTTACCACTATACTGAGTTTAGCTCAAACCTCAATCAAAACACCTGATTCAGGTAATTAAGGCCTTCAGAGGCATTGAATATTACAGCCTGGTGTGTTGGGTCTGACCAATGATTTTTATTAAGCATTTCATATTGCGCTGAACTAAATCCAATTTAACTAGACTATGCAAATTGTAATAAAGCACAAATTTAACAGCATTCTTTAGTACTCATGATATTAATAGTATGTTCAGAATAGCATATTGTGGCATAATTCACCACCGTAACAATACATATTGTCATATCGTTGACACCTAATTATTGGATTTTACCTCATAGACATGGACATTGGCACATTTAAAGATATATATACACACACACACACCACACATTCCTCCATTGTGTTTACAGATAGCATACAGAAAGCCTTTCGCATAGGAATGTAATAAGTGATACTGTGCCATCTTTACAGAGTATTAACGCAGAGATGTATGTGTTGTGTTGCAGTGAGAAGGACACTTAAGAGTGGACTGAGTGTGGACGTGGTGCAGGCACTGGGTCTGAACAAGGCTACGGAGAAAGTCTGAGACTGGAGTAACAGATCTATGGTCAACTGAATCAGCTGCGTCGATGGAAGAGGCTAATCCTAGATCCTGAGACGAAATTTAGACAACCCTGAGAAACGAACTGAGCGGAGACCTGATGGACAGCTGATCTCCCAGTGAAGACTGTTTCTCACTCATCTGCTGCAGACGCACTTCAGCTTCCTGTCTGAGTAATGGAACTTTTATCCACCAGAACTGAATGCAAAACGCTAAACTTTTCTATTATCAGATACTGTAAGAGACTCCTGACAGGCAAGCACATATGATTTAGTGTTTTAATTGGTACATTTAAGTATTAAAGTATTAAACACCAGACAAGCTCTATTAATGTAATATATATGATCCAACAATGATGTAAGTTTTAGCAGAAACAGTTTGTACAGGTGCAAGTTCTTTTTTTTTTTGTAAATTAAGAGCATTTTCTTATGTAGCACATCTGCATATTCAAAAAGGAACGAAACTCAAATGGTCAAACTTCAGCTTTGTATAGATTTTGAGTAGAGGGGAATGTTCAATATGGACACAGATGTTTGTTAAAGTTACTGTTTTACTCTGATCTAGGGTCAGTTCAGCTTCTTAAATGAATGTTTGACAGAAAAATCTTTATAAAAAAAAAAAAAAAAAAACCATTTTTTCAGAGTTGGCTTCGTTAGCTTTGCAGCGGAGCTTCAAGGCTAGTGTAGGTAAACATAATGGAAGTCTGTGTCACCCAAAGTCTTTGCACCAATGCAAATCTTTTTAGGTGGCCTAGACTATCCTCACGGCTTTGGTGCAGAATTAAAGACGCAGACTTCAGACTCCAAACATGTCTTGATTGATCGACTCTGTTTAGGGAGAACTGTGTCAATTTAATTTTTCCGTGAACTATCCCTTTTAATATTAGCATCTCAGCTAATAGAAGCTGATGTGGTCAGTGTAAAGCAGTAACACTGTCTGGGCAATACTCTCTGAAACAGAGGTCAGCTGTATCATCCTCACACACAAGGAGATCTTGATTAGAGGGGATGTAAACTAGGTCACGTTCATTTGTGGTGTTCTGTTTTTTTTGGGTTTTTTTTTCGCTTTTATTATTTATCTCAACACACAGGTTTGTGGATGCTACAGCATTGATTGGGTTGGGTCGCAGGCTCATGTTTGGGCTTTGATAGTTATATTGCGCACATGAATGGAGCCACTATTGAACCAAAACAGGTCGAATCCAGTGGTTACTTTGACTTATTTAACAGGTTTTGCTTTGTTTTTCTTTTCTCTCTGAAGAACCACTGTGATTTTTCTTACAACTGTTCAGTTCACTAGTTAACTTTAGCACTATAAAATACACATCATATTGGAAATTCTTACAATTAGAGTATTTTTTGAAGGATTTTATGGCTACTGCATGTTTTGCACATAAAGCTGTAGCCTGTAGGGGTTATTTAGCTGGCTGCACTCCCACTCACTCTTTTAGTATTCTTTGTGTGGTATTGTTTTGTGCTCCTAAACCCTGCAACGCATAGCGCATGTGTTTTCATCCTGAATGTATCACTAAAGGTGTGCTCCACTGTTAAGAGATTTCTGCTCTTACCATTGTTGGCACATATACAATACGTTTTAATGCAAACAACAGACAGTATGCAAAGTATTTTTATCCCGACGTGTTTGTATGTATGACCTTCAGAAAGGTTTCTGGAGTTCTTTTTCTTTGAAGTAAAGTATTTTAACAAAGTTTTTGGTGTTTGGCTGCATTATTCCTCGGTATGTCAGGTGAAATGTTTGTGAATTCTCATTTTGTCCTGCAGAGGGTGCTGTTTCATTGCACCCACAGCACAGACTCCTGTAGTCATTTCACCTGCACAAAAGCTACTCGGAGGCTCTTAAACACTATTTACAGAATCATTTTTTCCTCCTTTCATACTTAGAATAGGCGGATTGTGTAGACTGTGGGGAGAAGTATAGTCGAGGTGTAATTTTGCTTTAAATGAAGGCAGCTATAAGTAACGAATTACATTTACTCTCGTTGTTGTAATTGAGTACAGTTTGCCCTGTAACGGTACTTTTTGGAGTAGAATTAAATCATAGTACTTTTACTTGAGTTAATTTTTAATGAAATACTTTTACTTTACGCTACTTTCATTTTCAGTCACGTTACAGAGTAAAAATAAATTATGACCTTATCAGCTCAGCAACCAGTAAGAACGAAGCATGGTTAAATTTAAAAGATTCACCAATCAAAAAACATGTTGCTGCTGGTTTTACTGGTAGAAATGTTCTGAAAAGATATCAGTGAAAATAAACAGTTTGAAGGCTGTGAATATGTTTGCTGTCTGTAGGTTCACACCTATTAACGTAAGCTAGAATCCAGGGAGGACTCTCACTAAAATTACGTTATTAATTAAGTAATCTACTCATAGTTTCGACTCAAACATCCTCTGCACAGTCTGTCAGGGATTCTAAAATACTTTATTGAAAACAGATAAACTAGGTCTTATATTATCATCTAACTATGAAACACATGCAGTTTACTGTAAACCTTGTTCCTTACGCAGCTCACAGAAAGGTGTGTAGATGTGCTCTAGCAGAGCAGACTGTGGTCAGTCTCAGCTCTCAGAACTTTAGCTTTAGTGTTTTTCTGTACAGATTATTTCCAGTGATGTAGCCGAGTCAGCTCAGAAATATGTTCTGGTTGTGACAGCGGAAATACAAAAAAGTAACTAAGTAACTCGGTACTTAAGTAGGTTTTTCAACAAACTACTTATTTACTCATACTTGAGTTATTTTATTTACTAATACTTTTACTTGTACTTGAGTAAATTATCACTATAGTGACTACTTGTACTTAAGTAGGGATTTTCAGTACTCTTTACAGCCCTGAATGCAGACCTTTTTCTAACTCCTCCCTCAGGAATTGTTAGTAAAGTTAGTAATAATTACCTGCTGTGTAAACGTAGCCTTAGACTCCTCTTAAAACTGACCTTTTCTCCCAGAAATGAGGACACTATATTTAAATAAATAGGCTAAAATTAAAAAATCTAAAAATGATCACAGCATGGGTCAAATCCATCATCTCAGTTGTTCATTGAACTTTTCATATTTGTTTATTTATTTATTCAATTATTTATTTATTGGCATGTGCACTTAAATGATAATTCAATTATGGTTCTTCAGGGTTCTTTAGTAAAGGCGATGGTTCTACTTAGAACCATTTCATGCTTAAATAGTTCTGTGCATGGTGAAATGGTTCTTCGGACTGATTTCGAATGCGTTATATATGGTTCTATATAGCACCAAAAAGGGTTCTGCTATTGTGACAATGTCAAGCTTGTAAAAATAGACCACCCTATATACCCTTTTGGTGGTATATAGAACAATTTTCAAAAAGGTGCTATATAGAACCATATACAACACATGGGACCTTTTTGAAAATAGTTCTATATAGAACAAAAAACCGTTCTTCTGTTTGTACAAGCTTGACATTGTCACAACAGCAGAACCCTTTTTTGGTGATATATAGAACCATTTTTTTAAAAAGGTTTTATATAGAACCATATACAACACATCCATCAATCTGAAGAACATGAAATCGTTCTATATAGAACTCATGGTTCTAAATAGAACTATTGCCTTTACTAAGGAACCCTTGAAGAAGTTTCTTTTTTAAGTTTGTACACTTCCAGTGATTCAGATTTAACACCATGTGTGTACAGTGTTGTGCTCCATCAGCTTCCTCGACCAGTTTAAATGTAATATTTTCCCGCTAAACTTTGCTGTCAGCTCCTCCAGTCTCCTTCTCCTTCTCCACCTCGTCGCGTGTGTGTGTGTGTGCGTGCGTGCGTGTGCGCGCGCGTGTGTACCGGCTCTTTAACGGACGCTCCGTCACGTGCTCGCGCTGCTCCCGCCCCGCCGTAGCGCCTGAGCGGCGGCGGAGGTGTCGGTGCTGTGGCTCCGGAGCGGGGCGTCCCACCGCGGGCTCCATAAAAGGCGCATGGAGACGGCGGGGCGGCCGTAGGGGGGGGATCATGCTCTGCTTCACCTGGCTGCTGCTGCCGCTGCTGCTGCTGAGCGCCGCGCGCCAGGCGCCCGCTGACCTTTCCGCCACCGGTCAGCCCGGGCACGCGCTGGCCAGATCCGCCGAGGAGCACGAGGACGGCGGAGCGAGTCACCACGGAGGGGGATATAAGATCGTGCAGTGGGAATGGAGCTACGTCCAGACCCCCTACATCATCGCCATCTGGCTCCTGGTGGCCAGCGTGGCCAAAATCTGTGAGTAACAGCACCGCGGCGAGTGGCGCAGTCTGAGCGTCTCGGAGGGAAAGTTACCGGAACAGTGTCCGTTATCGGCCGTTAGCGCTGAGGCTCCGTATGTCAAATAGTGCTCCACCAATAGAAGTCCATTCATTAGAGTAGTGTGTAGTATGGTAGTGTGTGGATTTGGACGCGGCTCTAGATCGGTCGGTGCTGAGACTGAGGGCTGAAGGTGAAGAAGTGGCTGAAGTAAAGATCCCACAGAGAGCTGAGAGGACCGTTAGGAAGTGCCGTCTCAACGGTCCTCTGTGCTCTCTGATCTCTGTACTCGCGTGTTTTGGCAAAAACGCTGCAAAGCGGACCGTTCGCGGCGCGTGCGGCTCTCCGCGTTCCCTTTCCAGTCTCTGGTTGGTCAGCGCTGCTGACCGTTACTATAGCAGCACATAACCGTTGTTTCATTAACTACGAGTGATACAGTGATTTAAAAACAGAGCATATAATCACTTATTATATTTTTGTTATTTGTTATTAACAATAACATTATTTTTTTATTTTATTTATAATTTGAAGTGGTGAGTTGTTTTGTAGGAAGTTAACACATGACAGGTCTAACCAATATTGTGTCCATTTGCGTTCAAAAGTTTGGAATCACTAGCTATTTTTACATTTTTTCTTATTTTATACACAATAATTAGCTCTACAGGTCTGATTTAACTATTCCACTCAATTCGCACGATGTATTAAATGTTTTATTCAGTATTTTAATAGATATGTGGACAGATATTGATTTGAAAAAACACTTAAATGATATACTTACATCAATTTTTTGTCACATTATCTCCATGAAATTTTTGTTCATCACTCTGGACAAATTCATCATTCTCCTATTTATTTATTTTTTTTTAAAGCTGTGAAGTCACACAGTGCTAGTGTGTTAGAATAATTAAGTACACTTATCTTAGTAGAGGACAGTATGACCAAACATTTATATTGTGTTATAATTACATTTTCTGACAGTTTTGGTTTATATCATGAAATGCAGTAAAACTTCAGATGCGTAAGCAAAGCTATTTTTGTTCATTATTCTGGGATGTCCTTTTACTTTTTAATGAGAATCATTTTAACAACCTGTGTATTTCTGAAATACTTTTATCGTGAAAAATAGTAAAAGCAAGCCTGAACAGGAAAAACCTGTTAATATTGCTTTGTAACATTAGCACAGGCCCAGCAAAACAGTGCTGAATGTTGATTCATGTCTGAATTTCTACAAAACTGAAGTTGGTTTCTTAATTGGCAGATTTTTTAAACACAGGCACTTGAATATAATTGCTGCACCATTTAAGGTGGAACGGCAGATTCAAATAAGAGGCTAATTTTTGCTCCGTCAAGTTCCTCAAGTCATTTATCTTATATGTGATTTTCATATATTCGCACCTTTGACCGTCAGACACTAGTGGAATTTGGAAAAATATTATAGCCATTCACCTCTCAGTACCAGCTGGTCCACAGCTTGTTGCACAGACAAGGCTAGCATATTAGGCTAAGGCTAATCTCAAAAGGCCGGACATTTCTTCACATCTGCTGTCTCAAAAACAATGTTGGCTACTTCACATGCAATGGACTAGACAGCGAGAGGTGATTGAGGGTCTGCTTCATTTGAAGTGTGACTGAAATTGTGACCGACTTAGCCATTCAGCTAAATGGGCTAACGCTAACGTGGTTTGCATTGTTTAAAAGTTGTGTTGTCTGTGCTTGTTTGTGGCATAATGGTGGTATAACGGTTATGAGAAAATTTGTGGTTCTTCACATGTTCTTTAGTAAAAGCAGCGGTTCTATGTAGTACCAAAAAGGGTTCTATTGTTACGATGTCAAGCTTGTATCTCAAATTGAAGAACACTGATGCTGTATAGAACAATTTTCAAAAAGGTTAGATATAGAACCATATACAATATATTCTCCATCAATCTGAAGAACCATTTCACCATGCAAAGAACCATTTAACGTGCAAATAGAGCCGTTAGCATGCAACCAGAACCATTGCATTTACTAAAGATCCCTTAAAGAACCATCTGTTTTAAGGGTGGGCTCAATGAGCTGGTATACCACCAACTACTACTGTAACCTCAACAAAATTGCTTTTCTGAAATTGAAGACATTGATTTGGAAGTTTTGAACATTGATTTAGAACTTTTGAATGTATATAGAACACTGTATGTAGACAAAATATATGCCAAGCATTGGTGTGAGGGCTGTGAAGCCCTGGAGCATTGAGCTGTGGAGCAGTAGAGAAGATCTCTGGAGTGATATAATCCAATACCTTTGGGATGAGCTGGAGTGGCGTTCGTAATCCAGAACTAATCATCCAACATCAGTACCTGACCTTTCTAATGCTCCTGTGTCTGAATGCAATCATATCCTCACAACTATGTTCCAACATCCAGTAATACATATGAGTAACTGTAGTGTTTAACCCTTTGGTCTTTTCTGTCCAGCTTTAAGCAGTCCTAGGTTGAGCCATCATGAGGCAGGCCTCGTTCTCTCTCTCTCACTTTAACAGTGAGATCACTGTGTTCCTGCCACTGTGGCATCTCTCCAAATGTTCTGGTCTGTTTTTTTAAACACGCCGCTGTACAGGAAGGGCTGTATCCTCTGATGACTGAGTATGACTCATCTCCAGCCGGCAGAGGCGCTGTGTTTGGCTTTGGTCCTGTCCATGAGGTGAGAGATGACCCCTGCTACAAATACCCAAGCAAACAGTTACTCAATGGCAGATTGGCCATGACTGACTCCAGCTTTGCTGTCGTGATAGAGAAACAGAAGAACATTGGCAGTGGAAAGAACCACGTTGGTGGATTACTGTAGATGCCACTGCTGATGGATGCCTTCTGTCTCCTGCCTGCTTCTGATCATGTGCTTGTGTGAAATGAGTACAAAAACACTGCTGTTCCATCCGTCTCATCCTCCATTCACCCATCTCCTGCCTGATAGCGTTTAGCCTCTTGCTTTACCTGAACCCCATTCCTGTTTTGCTATCCTGCTTACTGGTGGGTTGCTTTGCTCGTGTGGGCGTCCGTTAGGCGATTGGCCCACTCTGTTTTTCATAAGCCAGGCAGAGACGTGTTCTATTTCAGACAGTTTTACTGTCTCTATTCCCCTCAGGCAACACCATCCAAATTCACTGTGAATATTTGCCTTGCATTTTGTACTGGGGGAAGGAGCCCACAGAAACGTATTACCCAAAGCACCTGCAAAGGTCTCACCTGAATTTCAATGCAGAATGCATCGAACACGCGTCTACCGTTCAATACTGAGAACGAGGTAATGCACAGAATCTCTATCAGAAGCCAGTTCTCCATGTATTGTTCCTTTACAGCAGGGGGTCAAACGCGGCCACTAAAAGGGCCATATTAACCCCTTAACAGGCCACAGGCCTACCAGCAGGCTCAAACTTTAATTACACATTTCTATAACCTAAGAATAACTCAACCTGTTTACACTGAAGTCCCTGTAGTTACTGAATAATAAGCCTTAGTCTGTAATAAGCCTCGGATTTTGAGGGGTTATAAAATCCCAACAAATCCGTGGACCAAAGAACGATTATGTTTTTTATTATATTTTTAAAATAACATTTATTTATAATACATAAACAACATTTATATTTATTTTAGATAACATTATAACCTAAACTGGCCATTGTTTACTCAAAATATGGCAAAAGTTCAACAGCAAAATATAGGCATTTAAAGTGGACTTGAAATATATTTAAAAAAATGGTCTTTAAAACATACCTGTTTGCTTGAACTGGACACTTGGCCTCTTTTCTTTGCTGCAATTTCATTCATTCTTAAGTGTCTGAGCTGCAGAGCTAAGTGGTAATACTGGTTGAACTGCAGCTGAAGTGTAGCTGGTGTGTTTGGTGATATGACTGGTGTGGTAGAATTGAGGTGTCAGCGTTGTCCCTTAGATTGTTGTTGAGGAAGGGGTTGGGAGCATACATTATGATGCAGTGCATGCTGGGGATTGTAGGGCTGCATATTGTGAAACGGGCTGTTATTTAAAAACTTTCAGTAATATAATAGGTCAGATATAGATATATAGTATAGTATACTATAACTATAGTATAGTTAGAACAATTCTTTGGACTAGGTGATGGACCAGGTCATCCCTTGCGAAAAAGAAGCATACTCAAGTGCATCAATAGTATGCTTAAGTATATATTGTACAGTACTTTAGTATGTAGTACACTAAAACAAAAGTATATTTAATTGTCGTTAAGTATATTACTTAAAAACATATTTTAAAAAGAAGGATTTGTAAAGTGTGCTTTAGACATTTCGTTGCAATATAATTCAAACTAGCACCCAATAGTACACATTTAACATACACATTTAATTTTTAATTAACTTCATTGCAACACAAGTTGTTCCAATTTAGAACAGAAAAGCACTTGTAAGCCCAGATGTCAAGAATTCTTTCAGCCTTATTTAAACAAAATGTCAACATTACTTAAATATAATTTGTCTACATAAGTTGTGTGTAGTTATTCCTAATACCATATTTAAGAGCATACCCATTTTGATAAAGTTAATTGATGTTTTTGTTTTGAATGTATTTAAATGTGTTTAGTGATGTAGAACTATAATTTAAAATGCATGTAGGTGCATTTTAGTTGCAGTATAACAGCTATGTCCACAAATTACATACAAAAAAATCTACTTAAGTGCAACTTAAGTTGTTTGAAAATAAGCATTTTAAAGCACCACTAAGCACAGTTAATATAAAATTAATCATAGCTGAATTACAGTGTAAATACACATTTAGTATGCATTAAAGTGTGTTTAAAATGTAGACATTAGAAGTATGTACTTTTCATTCAAAATACTTTTGAAAAGTACACTTAAATACATTTTTTCACACGGGATGACATGGTCTAATTCTTGTTAATGTTATTAAAGCAGTATTATTAGAGATAGTGAGATCTGGCATCAAGCGTGTTAATAGGGAGTTTGTTCCTCCTT